ACGGAAAAAAAAAAAAAAAAAAAAAAAAAAAAAAAAAAAAAAAAAAGTTCCCATTATCAGCTGGCTGGTTGGCTCAGTTGGTTAGAACAGTGTAGTAACACCAAGGTCAAGGGTTTGGATCCCCGTACCCTTTGCAGCCGGCTGCAAATAAGAAAAAAAATTCTGTTAAAGTTTCCAAGAGTTCACAAAGATGGCAAGAACAGGACGGGGGTCTCCTGTGTGCTGCCACCAGGATGTGCATAATTTGCCTGCTGGCTTCATGAAGGTTTCTTCCTTTTTCTTCATGGGAGTATCTTAAAGCAGACCCCAGCTAGCGTGCCGTTTCACCACAGGCGCTTCCGTGTGCATCTGTGCAGATAGTGGCTCCATCACGCTTCACCACTGTGCTGTATGCACGTATTCCTGTGAGTCTTGCTGTGCAGGGAGGCCTGGCCGGCTCCCGAGGGGGCTCAGGAAGCCTTTGCTTAGGAAATGATACTTGAGCTGGACTGGAGGGAAGATGGGGGTCAGTCAGGTGATGAGGACGGGAAGAGCATTTTAGATAGAGGGAACAATGTGTGCAGAGGGCCTGGGTTAGGGAGGAGCAGAGGGGGCTGGGGGTGCTGCAGCCCCATGGCTGGGAGAAGGACTGGCGCCTCTGTGACTATTGGGGAGGGATGATACCAAAGTCACCGTGGGAAGGAGCTCCTGGCTCCCTGCTGGACATGGCCCCAAGTCCTCTTCAGTCACCCCAGCTGCCAGCAGGTCGAGTGCAGTACTGCACCCAGTCCCTGCACAGCATCTGGCTCTGCAGTTGGTCCTTAGCAAGCAGAAGCTACTTAGTGAGTTGATGCCCGTTTCTGCCACGATGTCTCACAGGGCTGGGCGTGGGCGTGTGCTGTGGACTTGCTCCCCGGTTCTTCCTGGGGGCAGGTGGAGCCCAGGAGCACCCTCTGGGTGCAGGGTGATGGCGTGTGAAGTCAGCTGAGAGCATGGCTCTGGGGAAGGCTGAGCAGGGCACCCTTGGCCTGCTGAGACTACGGGCTCCTGCTGGGGTGAGACATGTGCTGTGGTTCACGCAGCTGGTCAGTCTGGCTCAGAAGCCCATGCACCTTGCCTGCCTGCCTTCTGGCCTGGCCTCACCTGCCCCACCCCCTACATTGCTCCGTGCGTGCCTATGTGCATGGGTGTGCACACACTGACTTTGTGTGTGGGAGCACAGGTGTGCACAGTTTCCTCCGTGTATGAGCACTGGTGTGCACATAGTGCCCCAAGTGTGCACATGAGCATGGTGTGCAGGTTTGCACAGACACACGCTGCCTTTGCTGGCCCGGTCCCCGTGGTAGCTAACCTTGGCTTTCATGTGAACTGGGTCTCACTTGGGTCAGGGCTGCTGTTAGGGTGGTGGCCCTGGTCACTAGGGCTGGGGTCTGCATTGCTGGGGGTGGGCACAGAAGCTGGCCCAGAGGCGGGCCCCCCAGTGAGGAGCAGCCAGCCTGTTCCTGCTGACTGAACGTTCCCGCTGGGCACAGTCATGCCTGGAATCTGCGCTTCCTCTCACAGAGCTTTAGTCAGTTAAAATACTTACTGCACCCCACAGGGACCTCTCTTCTTTCTGTTTCCCAACACATTTTTTGTTTGATTTCTTGAAATAGTATCTCTTTTTCCGTTGTAAATATGCATGCATGTCATTTCTTTCTGTGCCATTCACCTCAGGGGGCACAGTTATTTTTGGAAACACTTCTGAGTAGGAGGCTTGGGGGTTGAGCACTGGATAACACTCTCCTTCCAGTCATGCAGGAAATATGCACTGAAGCTGGGTCCTAGCTGTGTGAGGTTTGGTTGTTTTTTAAACTAACATGGCCAGTCTTAAGAAACAGTTATGACAGTGGGGAAGTAGAAACGTTTTCAGATGACTTCAGGTCAGCTGGTGCTGAACTCCTTGAGTGCCAGGCACCATGCTGGGGCCACACCAGGGCCAGCAGGAAGGAAGCCCCAGATGTAAGACCAGGAGGGCAGGGACCCAGTCTCATGCCTGCCCCCTCCCAGCGCTGCCTGCATGTGCATTCAGTCCTGGCTGGTGGACTGCGTGGTGTGCACATGTGATCACGTCGCACCCTGCACTTGGTGTGGAGCAGGGCTTCCCACCTTGAACCTGTGGTCAGGTAACTTGCCCAAGGTCTCACAGCAAGTGGAGAGCCTGGGCCAGTAACCCAGGCCACGTCTCACGCCAGTGCGGGTGCTCCTGCGTGTGCGGCCCCGTCCGAGGACTTTTCTTTGGTCTTCACCCAGCTCCTCAGGACAGTTTGGTTAGAGATGTCTGTTGTCAGAAACAGTGAGCAGATGGATGGGTAAACTTGTGTGCTGAGTTAAAGTCTGAGGAGAGCACACAGTAGGGAGGAAATGAGGTTGGAAACGTGGGAAATGTCAACTTGGATCCTGTTTTGTTCTGTGTTTCCATTTTAAAATTAAGAACACGTTTCCACAGGAGGAGAGTGTGTTGGTGGCCCTACTTTCGAGCTGGCATGTACTCCTGGAGGGCCACCCCATCTTGCACCTGGCACTGGTCCACCCAAGATGGGGGCTCTGGTGTTGGAAAGGGGCGGCAGGGAGGTACCCTGTGTCCTGGGGGTGCAGACCTGGGGAGCATGTTGGCAGTACTGGGCCGGCCTCGGTGCCTGGGCTCTCTGTCATTAATGCCCACTCCCAAGGCTTTAGAAACCCTTCTGGGACTGTTTTCCCTGATCATGCAGGTACTGATCCAAAAATGTAGTGAGATGCGGTCTGTATTCCCAGAGCTGCCTGTGGAAGGAGGGCCTGTCCTGTGGGGAGGGGGCTGGGTGGGTTCGAGATGGGCCCTCAACGCCCAGCCTTGCCCCCAGCAAGCCACCTCAGATTTCTCTTGCTGGTGTCAGGGCCTCAAGCTGGGCTAGGGGCTCTTTGTTCTTTTGGGTCACATGCCCCACTGGGAGTCTGCTGGAAGCTCTTGCCCCTGAGACATCCCAAACATGCTTCAGGCAGTTCTGGGCTCCCCCCAGTGGCTGGGCCCCAGTGCTGTGCCAGGAGGTGCTGCTCTGGGAACATCCAGCAGAGCGTCTGGATGTTTCCTTGAACCGAGCTTGCAGATTAAGAGAAATAAGCCTGGCACAGCTGCAGGTCAGCCTGGAGAGTGGCTGGGAGTTTGAGCAGTACCACGCTGGCCCTGGTAGGTGCCTTGAGCTGTCCCTGGAGATGAATCCCTCCTTCTGCCCCTGGGGCAATGAGGTGCCCTCTCTGGGCTCACTTCTCTGGTTTGAGGGGAAAATAATAAAAATCAGTCTGCTGGAGGCAAATAGGCTCATTATTGCCCTAGTCAAGGTGATTTGAAAGCAGACTTGAAGCTCTAATTCACATACTCTCATGTTCTCGTTGGAAGTCAGCCAGCCAGACTCCCTCAATAAGGTTCCTTTATTCCTCTCCCTGAGCCTGTCTCCAGGAGGTTTTATAGCTTCCAGTGAAAATCAGGAAGGATTTGGTTGCTTTGGCTCTGTTTCGTGTGGGGTTACTTGATGGCTTCCCAGAAGGAAACGGACAGCTCAGCAGGGGCCCCAGGAGGCCTGGCCCGACCCTGTCAGCTGACAGGTGGGCCCTCGTCGGCTGCCCTCTCTGGCTCCCTCCCCACCCCCTCTGGCGTCTTTCCAGCCCCCAGCTTTGAGATCAGTCCATCCTGGTAGGTTCCTCCCACACTGCTCCAGGCCCTGCGCCTCCAGACGACCTGCACATGCGAGGATCCTCCACCCTTCCCCTTGCATTTCCAGGGGGGTGAGGGTGGGCTCCAGGGAGCAGAGGGCACCCTGCACCCAGCGTCCCCACCCTTGACCACCCAGAAAGAACCCTCATCTCCTGCCTCACTCACCCATTTTCTGTTTGTGATGCTTAACAGTGGGCCTCAAAGTTTAGTGCCACAGCACAAATGTCCTCTCATGTTCTGGCCAAGTCAGGGACCACGTTTATGGTTCTTGCACCTGGGCCCCCCTCCACCACTAAAGTGATCCTTCTAAAATGGTAGCCCTGCAGCGCTACCAGCTTGACCATAGGGGCTGCGTGGTCCTTGTGATGCTCCCTGAGGCCGGCATGACTGATCTGTGTTCTCTGCCCTTCCCTCTGTCCCTCTGCTCTGGCCAGACCTCGAACAGTCCTGATGCAGTCTGTCCCAGGTCGTTGGGCCTGCAGCTTCCTCTGCCTGAAGTGCTCTTCCAGTCTGTGTGCCTCACCTCCTGCAGGTCTCCCCTTTGCAGCAAGGCCTCCCTGGCCCCTGGCCCTGCTGGGTGACTCATCATGCTCCTCCATCCGTCCCATGGGGGGCCAGCTCACACCACCTGCAAGGGACTTGCTGTATCCTTACCTCTAGGTTGGCGCCTTCCAGGGAGCGGGCGCTTAACGAATCCTGTTGGATTAATGAACTCTCAGGGTAATTTCTTGGCTGTGTCTTTTCTCTTTGCTCCAAACCCCAGTCCAGAATGGGAGAGTTCACATTCGCGACTGGAGAGAAGAGAGGCTGAGGAAGAAAACGCACCCAGAAGCAAAGCGGAGACTGTTCTCTGACGCTTTGAAAACCCGCATCTGCTGGTTTTTCACACATCATCCCGATGGCTGTCCTCTGCCTTCCGACTGCTGCCCATTTGCCCATGGGCCTGGGGAGCTGCGGCCCTCCCAGACCCCCAAGAAGAAGAAGCAGAGTCTGTGAGCTGCTTCCTCCAGCGAGCTGAGGCCAGGGCGAGAGGAGGGTTTTCCCGGCCCTCTGCTACCGCAGCTTCTGTCCGCTGCGCTCAGCCTCCTCTCCCTTCCGCCTTCCTGGGGTTTCATGGTAACGCAACTGCGTCACTCAACATCAGCAACTGGAGAGGCGAGTGACTCATAACCCCCAGACGAGGTGCTGTTGCAGAGAATAAAACGCATCTAATTCCCCCCTAGCCCACTCTAGGTGGCATTTTAAAAAGTCATTAGTGGTACCTGCACAAGGCTTAAAAAGGTGTCAAGGTGTCAAGCTACTGTGGTGGCTAATGTTGGAATCCTGTCGACATCGCCAACTTTAGATCTCTTAATCCTGCTCATGACACCAATTGTAAAGCTACACAACCACACCAGTTGTTGGGCTCTTTTACCTGCTGGTAATCCTGCTGACTGGGCTGATTGTAAAGCTAGGGCTGGGTCTGGAGCTCCCAGGCCCCTCAAGCCCATTCACAGACTGGGTCACAAACCCTTCATACACCAGGCTGGGTCACCAGGCCCCTTACACACAGGTCTATGAGCTAGGTACCCGACAAACAGGTCCTTGGAAGCCGCAGGTTGGAAAGCATGGCTGCCCGGAGTGGGTGCCCGAGGCAGACACCCGCCCGCCTTCTTCACCAAAATTCTCAAGAACACAGAATAGCAACAAAACTGAAAAGATACATTGGTGCACATGCGTGCTAACTACACACACACACACACACACACACACACACACACTCACACTCTCTTTCTCTCTCTCTCTCTCTCTGGTTACAAAGGATGTGCTGAACCATACCCAACCGGACACACACACACACACACACACTTTGCTTACAAAGGCTGAACCATACCCAACCACACACACACACACACACTGCTTACAAAGGATGTGCTGAACCATACCCAACCGGACACACACACACACACACAGCTTACAAAGGATGTGCTGAACCATACCCAACTGGACACACACACACACACACACACACACACACACACTGCTTACAAAGGATGTGCTGAACCATACCCAACCGGACACACACACACAGCTTACAAAGGATGTGCTGAACCATACCCAACTGGACACACACACACACACACAGACTTTGCTCGCACACACACACACACATACACACACACTCTTTGCTTACAAAGGATGTGCTGAACCATACCCAACCGGACCCGAGGCGAGGGTCCTGACCAAACCTACTCTTCCAGTCCTTCTCCACAATCCTCTTCCCAGAAGTGTTGGAACAGTTCTTTTGATTCCTTCAAGAAAAAAAAGCCCAAGGTGTTTCTGTTTGAACTTATTTCTGCCATCTTACGCAAGAGCTCGCATGTGACGTACACTCTTTGTTCCCTTGGTTTTCCTCGGGGTGTATGCTGGCAACCTTTCCCTCTGTGCATATCGACTACATGCGTGTGCGCGTGTTTGGCATCATCCACACCATGCTCTAACCATCGGTGCTGACTGGCCAGCCCTGCCTCATCATCTGTAACAACATCTGTAACGTGTGGTGGTCCATGGTGTGGGTGGACTCAGCTTCCTTCCTGAGGAATGAGATTAACTCACTCCTTTTCGAGGCGCTGCCATCAGCTCTGTGCAGCGCTCCTCAGGGATCCCGCGATCACTCCTGGAGCCCCACAGGCCGGGCCAGGAGGGGGCTGTGCCCGCCTCCCCACGTGCTCAGCTTTTCTCTTGTGAGACTGCAGCTCTGCTGCCCCAGGAGGGTGGCCTGGCACCAGGGGACTCTGCTGGGCTTCTGGGGAGGGTCAACCATGCTGGGGAAGCTCACCCTCCCAGCCAGGAGCATCTTCTTTAACTTTCCAGCCTGAGGGAGATGCACGGCAGTGGCCACAGCAGCCTGGTTCTGTGGTTGGTGCTTCTGGAGCTGCAGTCCTGGAGAGGGTGGGTGGGTGGCCCTCAGGAAAGTGAGCTCCCCCAAGGATATGTTCTTTAAGGAGCATTTCGGTGGGGCCCAGGAGAGGGTATTGGGTGACCTCAGCTCTCCCAAGTGGGGTCCTACCAGGCCAAGAGCCACGCCGAGGGGCCCACCATTCCCCACCGATCCCCTACCTACGTGCCGTCCAGCGCAATCACCTTTTGTGGTGGCAGAAACGATCTTTGGTGTGCCATATCACCTGGACCTAACCTCCATCCCTCAATGCCACCATGCCCCCTGCCCAGGTTGTATTGTGATGTTAGGTATTGGGCACAGTTGCTTTGCAGTGACACACAACACGACTGCGGGTGGGTGCAGTCAGATGGAGGCTGGCAGGGCTAACCACGCAGCCAGGCCATGGCCTTCCCCGAGGACTCACCTGTGACTGCTCCGAGCATGAGCACCTGGGCTGGACAGGTAGGAGCCAGCCTGTGCCTCATGTGAGGCGTGAGGGTGGATTTAGCCAGGCACACAGCATATCTACACCACATGTCTAGGCTAGACCCTAGCAGGCAGCAGCTGAGGGGCCACCTCTGTCCCCAGCAGGCCCTGCCAGCAGTCTCTTCTCCCAGGTCTTCTCAGGCTCAGTAGCTACAGGGCCCCTTCCCAGAGCCCGTCTTGCCCCCCATGCTGCAAACGGCTCACCAGGAGAGCATAGTGGCCTCGGGCCCTGCAGGCGTGGGCGGGGCATTGCCGTAGGGACCAGCAGCACCCTTGGGCTGTGCTGGTGATTCAGACCAGGTCCTGCACAGGCCCTGCCTCTGGCGTGCGGAAGCTCCGGGGCCATCGGGGTTGGCAGGGCAGGCTTCCTTGGGGAGGGGCTGTGGGTGCACTTCTTCCCTCTCATCCTGGGGGCCCACCCACGGAGGGTCCCATCCAGGGCCACAGCCGCACAGAGCAGATGACCTGGTCCCGAGCAGGAAGAACCCCGGCTGGTGGGAGCCAGTGAGTGGAGGCCTGGAGCTATTAACTTTTCCTTCCACCTCGATTCTGGTCACACCTTCCTATGGTCGTTTTTACTCAGAAAACTTCGTCTTATGGACTTCACCATTATGAGAAAAAGTTCATAAGAAAGAATTAAAAATGTGCGAACAGTGTGGTTTCACCAGCCCCAGGTGCTGTCCTGCCAGCATGGGCTGGACTTGGGAAATGGCTCCTGTGACTGTCTGGAATGACCCGACTTGCCCTGCCAAGGGATCCCCCGGTAACAGGGGGAGACAGAACTTGTGAAAAATCCTGGATCGGGAGCAGCTGGTTAGCCTGCAAAGGAGATTGCTCACATCTAGGGCAGGAGGCAGGCTGTGGCCCAGCCAGCCCTCACAGCACCGTTGCACGTGACGGGTCATATGCCTTGTCAGTCATACCTCGCCAGCTGTGGGGTGCCACAAAGGAGCAAACAGGCTCAGAGAGTTTAAGTGACTTGCCCAGAGTCACACAGCAGCTGCAAGAGCTGGATTTGCACACTGAGCAGCCACCTCCCCGCAGGGCTCTTTCCCAGCCAGGCCTTTGGCTGGAGGGGACGCTCGGGTTTAGTCTGGTGGGCGTGCGTTTGTTTCTCAGCCTCCAGGTGTGGCATGTGGGCTGCTTTCTCATGTCAGCGAAGTGTAGTGTACTCTCAGAATGGGCCCTTTTCAGTAAAAAAGTGAGTCACTATAGTGAAAAATGTTAGCTAGATGATAGTTTAGCTGGTGTGTGGAGATGATGCGACTCTGGAAATCCCTGCCCCATCACTCCTTCCAGAATCAGGAGCTGGCAGGACCCGTGTCTTGTGCACACAGTAACCTCAGACCTTGTTCTCGTCCTGTCCTGGGCTGCAGACCTGGGCAGGGCCTCGGCCTCCTCATCTGTCAGACGGTGGCCGCTGTGATGAAAGGTGCAGATGGGTCTCCAGGGCTCAGGCCAGGCCCCACGCAGGAGCTCAGCCATGCCGTTGGGACTGTGTCTATGCTACAGTGGCCTGGACAGTGGGAAGGGCCTTGGGCAGTTCATCTGAGGAAGCTTCTCCAAATGAGGAGTGGAGATCCCCAAGAGGGGAGGTGGATCGTGCAGAGTTACAGACCTGGATCACAAATTAAAACCACATATTAATCTATCTGGCAGATGCAGGGCAGGCCACCGAGGCTCCCCAAGGACAGAGCCTTGGTGGCCAGTAAATTTCTGCTCCTTAGTTAATTAGGAGTTTAGTGGTTTTTAAGCACAAGAGGCCATAAGAGGACTTTGTGGTAGGGCTCTAGCCCCTGCCCCCTCCCCCCGCTTTGGAAGTTGTCTGCGTGCTGAGCCCCCTGCACAGTGTGGAGGGTGGGAGCTTTGCCCCACAGGCCAGGATGGAGGGTGGGGTGGCGTGCCCCCAGGTGCCTGGGGAAACCCTTGGGGACAGAGAAACAGAATCGCACCCTCAGTTGGAGCTGCGTGCATTCAGCAAGTGCTTATCAGAGGCAGTGCCAGACTAGGGCCTGGGTCCTCACTGTGCCAGGCTGAATTATGAAGTCAGGGGGTGTCCTGGGGGAGGGACCAGGGTGGCTGGGGCTGTGGGGAGGAAGACAACTGTCACATAAGACAGTGGCAAGTTGTGGTGTGCACTCTGCTGTCCCCCTTTGGACTTTGATTTTTAGTGGTCGCTCGCTCCAGATTTAAATACACATCCTTCAAGTATCAGAGTCGACCTGAGCTCCATGTTAAAACCCCTTCGCATGGGCTGGAAAGCCTGCAATGGCGTTATGCCGTGTACATGCCTCCGGTCCTTTGCAGTATCGGCACGCGTTTTATTCCTCAGTGATACAGTACGTTGTTATCATTTTTGCTTTAAACAGTCAATTGACTTTTAAATGTTAAAAGAAAAAGTCTGTTTGTTACCCACATGTTTACCGTTTCTGTCCTCTCCACTCCTTCCTGCACATGTGAGTCTCCATCGGCATCATCTCCTTTCAGCCTGAAGTCTTCTGCAGTGTTTCTTGTAGTGTGGGTCTTCTGGCAACATGAAGGTACTTCAGAAAGATCGTGAAGAAAATAGAATTAAAAGATAATATGAATCTTTCCATGAACTTTTGAAAGTATTCTTGTATGATCTCACACCTTCAATTTATCTGAAAAATATCTTTATTTTGTCTTCATTTTTGATAGCTATTTTAGTTGCATATACAATTATAGCTTGATAAATTTTTTTTCTTTTATCACTTTAAAATTGTCATTCATGGTTTCCTGGCTTCCATAATTTCTGATAAGAAGTCAATCATGGTTTTAAATGTTTTATCCCTGTATGC